CCCAACCCCAACCCCAACCCAATAGAAGAATTAATAGGAAAATTAAGAAAGAATTTTTTTTTCACATAATCCGAGGAGCATCAATTGCAAGAAGCCCCTTTCTTAAACTAACAAACATATATAATACTAAGCTTATGAAGCAGATAAATTTCTATATCAAGATTCTATAAACTCTCAGAGTTTAAAAGTTAAAAAGATAGAATTTATGATTCATTATTTAAGTTTGATATTTATATAAATTTCTTAATGTATATTTTATATAAAATTATATTAATTAAAAGATAGAATAAATAAAAAAATAATTAATAAATATATATTTGGATACATTAATCAATGTTATTGAGTATTCAAATTTTCTTAAATAAGGAAAACATAAAGATTGTTAAAAAAATAAATTAAAATTATTTATTACATTGTTCGAAGAGAAATAAAAAATTATCTTTAAATATAAGTAAAATGAAAAAGTTTATAATCAAATTAGTAATAATTAATTTGTGAATTCATACAAAGTTTGTACTCAATTTGATTCAGAAGACCCTATTCTATTATCTTACTATTAATACCCAAAATCTGAAATTAAAATATTAGGATAGAAATATCTTTATCTCTTACATCTGAACAAAGAGTTGAAAATTTCATTTGAGTAATTTAACTAAAAAATGATTATTCTACTTTTAGATATCTATTTTTATTTTTGAACCATTAAAGATTATGAATCAATTGCTCTATTTCTTATTGTCGATTTGCCCCGATAAAAAATTTAGAACTCTGACCTTATTTTATTCTTCAGTATATCTTTACTTTCATATCTATTAACAGATTGATTTTCACCAATAATATCTTTAGAATTGTTGTATTAGCATTTTTACAGTTTACTTCAACTGATTTTCTCTAGCTTGAGACATAATATAAAAATCATATTTTCTATTGTAATCTCCATAATTCTTATATTGAAAATATGATATTTAGAGCTAAATATAGGATCTAATTAGAAGCAGTTATTATTAAGAATCTATTGTGTATGAAGTTTTTAGTATTGTTTTTATTGTAAATTTAACAATAACGAAATGATTTATAGACTTATTGGAAAAATTTAGCCTAAGTTAATCATATCAATAAGCTTTCAAAAAGGGATATTTAATAATTTGCTTCTTCTCATGTTAATTATGAGTATTTTAACTTTCATTATAAAGACTCATAACTGGAAATCCTTAAATATTACAATTACGATTTTTATCATTATGAACCATATAAATAATAGTTTATCAAATAATAAGTTCAAGAATAGTTTGTCTAAATTTAACTTTCATAGTTAGTCTTTAATTCATGAAATAAAAATTAATTATTACTATTACTACTAAAAATTAAATCAATTGAAATCTATTTCTTAACTCAACACTTTCCAATAAATAAAGATGTAAGAGTTCATAGTAAATATATCTAGAGTAAATTATAAAATTAATTATTATGTTCGTATTTTCTTCATAATAATTAATAGCTTAAATGTATGGTATTATTTCTTAAATTTTGGATAATTCATTAAATAATAGACATAATACTTAAGTTTACATTTGAAAGAAATTCCTTTATCTATTATATTTATGAATTTTATGATTGGCTAGACAGGTTGAAGATTAATTTATGTATATATAATTTTTTAAATGAAATATAATTTATATGAGTTTATAATTTTTCAATCCTCTAATTATTACAATCCTTCTAAAATTACAAATTGTCTAAGCATCTAGATGTGAAATTACTTAATTTGAAACTAATCAAGTATACATATCAAAAATACCAAATTTTATGTTAATTGAGAGTGATACAAATGATAATCTTTAATACTTTAAGTTGAGCATAATTAATGAAATAATTAAAGTATCGTATTAGGGAGAAGAATAAATCATTTCATCGTTAATAGTCGATCCAATAAATTTTGAAACTTACACCGGATTATTATTTTGCAAATTGTTAAAGGGCTAACACTATTTTATCACTTGTATGAATGATTTAAATTTTTATAGTGAAAAGAATTAACATATGAATTAAATTGATTCATTAATATTGAATCCTTCAATATAGAGCAACGATATTTGTGAAGAATATTTTTTTAATGATCATTCAGAATTTTTAATTTTCTGTTTTAATTCATATATGTTCAATATATATAGTGTCAATTTTAATAATACAACTACTTTAAATTTAAGTTTTTAGAGGAATTTCGAAGAATATATTTAATGTAAAAGAAAATATGCCAAATTAGATGAGAATATCTACATTTTAGCATTTTATTAATGTTAAAGTTGGGGAGTATTTTCTTATTATAATAACAAATTAAAAAAAATTTTGGATGAATAAATTGCAATACAATATGTAAATTAAATGAATACATAAATTGAGAATATTGAATTATGTTTAAGTAAACGTTCGCTATCAAAATAATTATATTTGATTACGGAAACAGGATACCATCTTTATTTTTTTAATGAGGTTTATGAATTACATTTTACTTATTATTCTGAAAACCCTAAAAAATTAAAAAGTCTAATATTCACAGAAACTTGTAATGCATTGTATTCAGTAACTTACCTTGAAGCTGATAATAAAACCATAATTAAAAAAACTTCAGGTTCTTTAGAATNATTTAATAATTTGCTTCTTCTCATGTTAATTATGAGTATTTTAACTTTCATTATAAAGACTCATAACTGGAAATCCTTAAATATTACAATTACGATTTTTATCATTATGAACCATATAAATAATAGTTTATCAAATAATAAGTTCAAGAATAGTTTGTCTAAATTTAACTTTCATAGTTAGTCTTTAATTCATGAAATAAAAATTAATTATTACTATTACTACTAAAAATTAAATCAATTGAAATCTATTTCTTAACTCAACACTTTCCAATAAATAAAGATGTAAGAGTTCATAGTAAATATATCTAGAGTAAATTATAAAATTAATTATTATGTTCGTATTTTCTTCATAATAATTAATAGCTTAAATGTATGGTATTATTTCTTAAATTTTGGATAATTCATTAAATAATAGACATAATACTTAAGTTTACATTTGAAAGAAATTCCTTTATCTATTATATTTATGAATTTTATGATTGGCTAGACAGGTTGAAGATTAATTTATGTATATATAATTTTTTAAATGAAATATAATTTATATGAGTTTATAATTTTTCAATCCTCTAATTATTACAATCCTTCTAAAATTACAAATTGTCTAAGCATCTAGATGTGAAATTACTTAATTTGAAACTAATCAAGTATACATATCAAAAATACCAAATTTTATGTTAATTGAGAGTGATACAAATGATAATCTTTAATACTTTAAGTTGAGCATAATTAATGAAATAATTAAAGTATCGTATTAGGGAGAAGAATAAATCATTTCATCGTTAATAGTCGATCCAATAAATTTTGAAACTTACACCGGATTATTATTTTGCAAATTGTTAAAGGGCTAACACTATTTTATCACTTGTATGAATGATTTAAATTTTTATAGTGAAAAGAATTAACATATGAATTAAATTGATTCATTAATATTGAATCCTTCAATATAGAGCAACGATATTTGTGAAGAATATTTTTTTAATGATCATTCAGAATTTTTAATTTTCTGTTTTAATTCATATATGTTCAATATATATAGTGTCAATTTTAATAATACAACTACTTTAAATTTAAGTTTTTAGAGGAATTTCGAAGAATATATTTAATGTAAAAGAAAATATGCCAAATTAGATGAGAATATCTACATTTTAGCATTTTATTAATGTTAAAGTTGGGGAGTATTTTCTTATTATAATAACAAATTAAAAAAAATTTTGGATGAATAAATTGCAATACAATATGTAAATTAAATGAATACATAAATTGAGAATATTGAATTATGTTTAAGTAAACGTTCGCTATCAAAATAATTATATTTGATTACGGAAACAGGATACCATCTTTATTTTTTTAATGAGGTTTATGAATTACATTTTACTTATTATTCTGAAAACCCTAAAAAATTAAAAAGTCTAATATTCACAGAAACTTGTAATGCATTGTATTCAGTAACTTACCTTGAAGCTGATAATAAAACCATAATTAAAAAAACTTCAGGTTCTTTAGAATTTGAAGGTACATTAATTAAAAGTTAATTAATTAAAGATATTCTTTTTATATAAACTCATAATAAACTTTAAATTTATTTCAATGAATTGATATATTAACATATTTAAATGAATACTTCCCATTTAGTATTTTATGATAATTTTAATTTAATATAATAAGTAGATGAAATAAATAAAGAAATTAAATTTTACAAATTTTCATATACAAAAAATATGTTGAAACCAACTAAAAAATATCTTTTTATAATCTCAAGTTCTTTATACCAAGATTCATATTATAAAGAATGTATTGAAGTAAAAAATGTTGCTAATATTGAACAAGGGCATACAATTTTAAATTTTAATTATAAATGTTAAACTTCTACTTAATTGTTTATAAAAAAGAATGATTTAGCTCTACCTTTTGAATATTAAATTTTATTGCCTTAATAATCATTAGATTTTATGAATATTTATGATAAATAACCCTTTATTTAAACTTGTCCAATATTAAGAAGATAACATTTTAGTGAAAGCAACTTAATTTTTTATACAGATAATTAAGGTGGATTTATCTCAATGCAATCTAAAAATAGTATATAAACATTTCTTTGTGATGGTACAAATACATTTAAAATAAATACAGCAACTTATGAAGTATCTTAATATAAGAATTTTGTGCTTGTAATGAACAAAAGTGAAAGAAAATTAAAATTTTTCGATTTATTAAAAATTCATGAAGGAATTATAGAAATAAAAGTGAAGAGTGAAATCATAAATATACTTCAATTTGATAAATATATTTCTATTATAACCCAAAATTAAACTGATTTTATGATACTCAATTTGGATAGTTTAAATGAAATCGAATTAAATGAGAATACAAAAAGACTATTATATAATTTATTTCAACATTCTTTATCTTCATCTAAAACAATGAAACAAAATCCTTTATTAAATTGTTCTTTTTTTATTTCAGATGAATTTCCCTCATAGATATATTTTAAGGAATATTTAATACTTCAATTAAATTAAGGAAGTTCAATCTAAAAAATGGATAATATTTAAATTGTTTATATGAAAAAGATTATTGTACGTGGATTATAATATTATTTGGCAGTACATCTAAATTTTAATAATATAATTGAATATTTTTATGATTTAGACCATTTATCAATTTTTAATAATTAAACATTAGACGAATATTAAATTATTAGACCATTGAGATACTAAATGAATAGTTAATATTTTGCATTAGCTGGTAAAAATGGTATCAAAAATTACATTTTGATATATGCTATTTACATTTCAAAACCAATAAAATTAATTAATGTTATTAAAACAAATAGATTATAATTCTTTTTCAAAGATAATGACTTGATTTATTATGATGATAAGGATGAGATTATGATTTTGAGCCTTACTAACTTTTTTGTGTAAATTACTAAAATATTTCCATTAGATAAAGATAATAGTATGACTAAGAGAAACTTCACATTTTACATAGTACCTTTGAATAAATAATAATCTAATTTTGAGATTGAATTTGAAGTGAGAAGCTCTAATCTTTGTTAGTAAATTTACAACAGAAACAATATTCTTTAAGTTAAATTTTCAATCTCAAACAATATAGCCTTTAATATATAAGATTATTTTGATGGTCCAATTAATAGAATCAAAATTTTAAATAATGATAATATTATTATTAAAGGTCCAATACTTTTATCAGAGAATTTAATAAATCAATAAGAGATAGGATCAATAAATATAACGAAAATTCCATTACCAAAATTAATGTAAGAATTTCCCAATAAAAAAGAAGGCATCTTAATTAAATTAGATGAAGAATAATAAATCATGATTCCAAATAAATTGAAATTTTTTAAATCTTATGGAGAAGTTATTGTAATTAATGATGAATTGAATATATTGGCATTTATTGAAGTAAAAAATAATAATATATCATTGTCTATTTTAAAATTGGATGAAAATCTTGATTCTTTCATAGAAATACAAAAAATTATGATTAGTGATTTATTTTTAGACATATCTTATTAAGATACTATTAAAAATACAGGAAATTTAATAATATTTAAAAGAAGGAATAGTCAATGTATTATTTATTCTATTAACATGACAGAAATTTATTTCTAAGAAAATGATTTATCTTTATTATAAATTATAAAAGTAAAAGGATAAAATGATTTTTACATTTCACTTAGTAAATAGAATAATGGATTTAAAATATTATTTCATCTTTTATCTCTTAAATTAAATAAATTTTAAGAGATTGGTTAAACCATAATTTATAAATCAACAATTATTCTTGAGTTAAATGATCATTTTCAACTTGATGATAATGATTTTAACATAAATTAATAAATAGATTTTTTAGAATGTACTCTATTTCAAGAAGAAATAAATTTATTGATTTTATAGATCTTTACAAGTTTTTCTATAATAGCCAAAATTTAAATTAATTTATAAGACTTTTCATCTTCTTATAAAGTTATGAAAATTATTAGAAATATTGATGAATAAAATATATTCACTTTGGCATTTTATAATAAAAATGTCTTGCTTTTAAAGTCACCTGAGAATTTCATTTATATTTATAATTTTTAATATGAGAGGAAACTTTATGATTATATTGGTAGTTTTAATTTAATTGATTGGAATTTCTACCCTTTAAATACTACTCACTTATTTATTTATACTGATTTAGGTGATAAATTATTTATAGGGGAATCTGGATACTTAATTTAGGTTAATGAAGAAAATAATTAAAAAAATACTTTTATATTGATTGCTTAAAATGAAGTATCAGAGGCTGGACTTAAGGTATTTATTGAAGTACCTTAAACATAACAATTAAATATAAATTAATATACCATTTGGATATTATCGGGACTAGTTTCTGCTTTAATTATTTTATATTTTCTTAGAAGAAGATTTAGATTAAAGTAGTAATGGAAATATAATAATTATAAATATTGAATATTATTCATAAAATTGTGATTTATTATTTAATAGAATATTTCAATATATTATCTATAAGGAATTTATTATTTTTTAATTCTTTAATTGTACTTATATATTACTTACAAATTATTTTGTAATTTAAATCAATATTCCAAATGTATATTTGATAAAACGTATTCTTTTAAAAGGGAAGAATTATTTTAGCACATGGTTCTTCTTAATTATTACTAATAAATCCCATTTTTAATAAAAAAAAGAGAACTAGAATTTGAATGAAATAGATTTAAAATTTAAGAGTGTTACTTAACTTTTCAAATAATGGTTTAAATCTTTCTGTCATTTAAATAATTCTGAAAGTTTCTATAGATCTCCTATAACATATTACTATCAAAACTAAAATTGAATCAACTAGGAGCTGAATTAAGTAATTAAAATTTTTTTTTACTGTCATTTTACAATATATCGAATTTTTTTTGTAATTTCACAAATTAATGATTGTATAAGAGGATCTATCCATAAGTTGAATAAAATATAATATATCATTTTA